ATATATATATTTATTTATTTATATTTATATTTATTCATTTATTTATAATATTTATATTTATATTTATATTTATATTAATCAGTGTGTTAATTTTACATGATATTTTTTTTACACTCGTCGTAGAGAGGGAGGAAAAGGATGCCGAGGAAGGATTCTGCGAAAGACAGGGGAACATATCTTCGAATCAGGGGTTGGAGAAGGGCAAGGGACAGAGGGGTGTAATAGACCTTTCATACATTTACATTGTCTTTGTCGTTACTACTATAATTAAAGTGAAACTCCTCAGGACTTAGTCGATATCTTACAAACATTTCTCTCTCTCTCTCTCTCTCTCTCGCTCTCCTTTTCCCCTTTTATTTTGTCTATCTTGTACTGTTGTACGTATCCTCGCTCTTTCACGAACCACTTTTCTCGTCGTACCGTTTCTGCAGACGCGTGAGCAGATGGAATTATCTCTCACCTCTTCCATTCTAATGCACACATCTCTCGCCGGTTCGATTTCTCGCGAAGTCTATCGATGTCTTTTTAATCATTGCAAATGGATCCCTGCCTCTCTCACACACACGCACTCTACCTTTCTCTCTCACTGTCTCTCGTCTCTTCGTTAACGGAACATATAAACATTTACTCGCGTACATATACATATATATATCTAACATATTCGTGTATCGATACTTCAGGTGACCCTCCGCTACGTTTTACCCGCCGATTCTATCCCGTTCTGTCATCTGTCAAGTGTCAACCACGACCGCCTTCGATCCGATCTTCAGCTACCGCCTCCTCGACCTTTCTCTCTCGCGAGCACCTGCTTCTACATGGCATGAAAGAACGATAGGACGACGTTTCATTTAATCTCTTTCTTCTCCTTCTTTCCACAAGAAACAGCCACGGTCACCGCGGAAGCAACAACCGCTCGCGATTCGCATCGCGTGTCCCTCGTCGCTAGTTTCGCGAATTTTCGTTTCCGCTGTATCTTATTACCTCTATCGGTTGCTTTCCAAGAGGTGCACCGGGTTTTATCGATTCGCAATATCGCTAACGATGCACAGCTCGAATGGTGTCGCGTTTAAAAACTTTAGAATCGTCACGCGATACGAGGTTCAGCGATTCATTCATCGTATTTACCAAAGTAGCCCTTTCCAAAGTTAATTTCCGAGGTTAATTTCCCAAGTTTTGCGAATAATTTTACACGCTACGGTATTCACGCGATGACGAAGAGGAAGAGGGACCCGGTAGGCCCTCTCTCCTTTCTTTAATCGTTAAAAATTTCACCGAGATATCTATAACAGGCTCGCCTAGCGTCACAAAACGGCGTCGAATTGGTTAAATTCGTCGATTAAAACAACCTTCGAAACATCTTTATAGGCTTCTCTTTCCTTATTATCCATATTGAACGGAAAGGTATTGCTGTGTGGTTTCTCGTCAAGAAGAATCCTGTCTTTTTGATATGTCAGACGTCTAACTCTCACTCTTTCTCACTCTCTCACTCTCGCACTCGTTGCTTTCGATTTCCCGTTTTTCCATATTTTCGCATCCATCGAATCGTGGCAGACCAACACGCTCTCTCTCCAATTCTTCCAACAAATGTCATCCGATAATTCTGTACCTCTTTCACGCAACTTTTGCTATCTGTACGAAGATAAAACGGGGAACTGATCGATCTCGAAGCTCGTTTCGAATTTCGACGCTTCGGATTCGCGATTCGTAATATCGAATCGAGTTCTGGGACAGAAATTCTCAATCGATATTCTGCATCATTACGCAGCATATCATTCGCGTCCTGTTTCCGCGAACTTCCCACGGGATAACGTAGTCTCCCTTTCATCGGACTTTTACTGAAATCGCGATTAAAATCGAATGGATATTTTCGTTAAAATGAATTCCGCGAGGAAATCGGCGAAGATTGAGAATTTCTGAGCCAGGAAAATAGGACTGGACTCGTTCACATCCGCGATTCACGATTTACGAAATCGACACCCGGTAGAACGATCATAGGCCCGATCGATCCTCGCAGACCTTGCACGAATGCAAACGAGCAACATCGATAAACGAGCTTGCTATGTACACGCACAAAGAACACCGACGTGAAACGAATACTCGACGAATCAACGCAAGAATTATCCTAAAACAGCTGTCCAGTCCTATCTCTCGATTACTCGATTAACGATCGCCACGATTTTTCGTGGAAAATCGAAAATCGTTACCGATCCCAACGATTTTCCATTCCCATCGAGCACGAGCGAAAATCATCGACGAAAATCGCGAGTCCTCCGCGAATCTTCGATCCATAACGATAAAACCCTTCTTCGCAATCTCTCGAGAACCATTTTGGTTCTGGTTCGCTGGACATCCCGAATTTCTTCGAATTTTCCCGAATTTCTTATAGATCGTTGACCAAAATTAATCGAATCACAGTGTCAGTCTGCCTATCCACGTCGATCGTTAACGCTTTCGCTTTACAACGTCGCTTAAATGTACGGAAAAGAAAATTATCTGCAAAGAGCATCCCCATCGAGGCGTCGCAGCCCCGATGGTCCACGCTCGTTGAGCATCTAGATCTGTGCATTTTGATTTGGAGCTTCAGCCACGGTTACTGTGTACACTGTATAATATATATCTTTCACATAAATTGTCGCCAGCACCCGGCGAAGCGCAAGCTAGGCTGCGGAGGTCTCTGGGGTCGAAGAGGTCGACCCTGTCTTCGACTCTGCGCCAACCAGGCTATCCTCGCGAAGAAATGCGCTCGAGAGTCCAATCATTGTCATCATCAACTACTTAATAAACAAAAATTACCATTTTGACGTCAACTTTTTCTCTTTTTCTGTCAATTATCTCTCCGATTTCTTCTCCCCTTATTCCTCCCTTATTCTTTATTTTTCCCCGTTTCGTTTGTTACCCGTCTACCTGCTCGGTGGTGCGAATGGTCTCCTATTTTTGATTGTCAATTTTGATTTCGCGATATTTCCCGTGACTATTACCGACTCTCGAGGACAGTCGACGCGTCGTCGCTTCGAACCCTTACGTGACTAAATTGAAACGCACGGTATTCGCGGAGGATGTCGAAGGGTTGGAGACGGTGGATCGAGAGGGTGGAAAGAGGGTTTTGTGCATTTTCCAGCACACCGTTGCTCGCGACGTATATATATAATATATATATATATATATAAAATCCAAATTCTTTATACAGTATATTATTGCATACTACACGTTTCTCGCATTCCGGGCTACGTTGTAACCCGTCTGCTTGTTAAAATATACTATTAGCATGTACATAGAGACGAGTGGAAGAGGAACGAGGGTGGTTTCGTCGATTTAGTCCTCGACGTAAATATCGGGAGGAACGGAAGATTCGTGGAACGACCTAAGAATTCTTTTACTCTTTCGTCG